AAAATATAGTTTCAGTACTTTCTAGAACAATAAGTTGCAGCATTACTTTAAATGTAAGCGTCAGCACTTCCTGAGGCAATCAACAACTGTTTGCACTTCCCAAGGTCATCCACCCACACTGTCCCTGTGATGAAGAGCAGACAAAGACTTTGTGTGTGGGATAACGAAGAGGCTATCATAACTGAACCACGATGTCTCAGAATTCGCAGTGAATGATTTAATTAATGCAAGCAACAGTATACTTGGGTGATGCAGCAAGAGGAATCGCAAATGGGTTTCGGCTCACATCGGCAAGCAGGGAGGGAAAAATATTTAATTATTCCTCTTATTGGATTATTATTAATCAACAGTTACACGTTCTGCTGGTTCTTCCTCAGCTATTGGATGGATTAAGGTGAACCGTAACCACCCGCATCAGACAGCTTATCCTCAGATTTTGAGCTGTATATGACCAGGAAAAAGAACCAAGCCTTGGTCGACGACTTCTTAACCATTTCTATGCTAATTGCATCGGAACACTTTGAAATAAATTTTTTACCCAGTTTTACGAAGAACATTCTACGCCCGTACGCAGCTCGAACAAACTCGTGTAGGGTTTGCAACAACACTGCAACCCAATGCGCCACCGTCCCCCTTGATTTTGCCTCTACTAGTTCAGACGAGTTAGAATTTCTACGTTTCAGCAACTGAACGTTAAGCACCGGAGCAAGAGTGATTGACACTGAGCATACCACCACCTTCGTGTTCGGACATGAATAAGCGAAGCATTTAAGACTTCAATTTATGTATATAACTCTATAGTTCGAAGTACACGCTGAATATCATATTAACCTCTAGAAGTTACTACGGAATACGTGATGAGAAACGATTGGTAGAAACACTCATCCAGTTTTTGACGTCTGTTTTTGGAAGCAAGCGATCGGCATGGTGGCGTTTCTGAACGGTCAGATCGATGATCAACCTCTATTAGGGCATTTCCGTCGCTTGGTTCCCAGCGTCCCAGAATTTCTACGTCAGAATGAAGCTGGTGTTTTTGTGCCGTCGATTTCGGGTGGCGCGGTCACCGGTCACCACAGGCCCTGCGCTGCCGTCCGTCTGGTCTGGAAGCCGGTGTATTCGGCGGCATCGTCCGCAACTTTACCTTTGAGTTGGCGTTTTTCTGCACTGGTGCTGCTGGCCCTCTCTGCGCCGTCACGCGATCCGCAACCGTGCGGTGAACCGTGCTGCTCCTTGAACTGTCGTTGAAGCCTCGACGATGAAAAGGAGACGAGGATTAGGCGGTAGGCGACGCTTTTTCGACGACGCCTCAGCCGTCTCTGTTTCAAGGTGAAACGGTCCCGGGCATCGAACGAAAGTTTTTGCGCATTAATCCGTGGAAGCAAGGCCGTGAAACTGCCGCAAAGTCGTCTTTGCGACAAAATCTATTTGTCCTGTTTGAATTGCGACGGTCGGCGGACGACGGTCGAAGGTCGACGGAGCGACCAACGACCATCGCATCGACTCTCAGGTCGTTAAAGTTTATGACCTACGGACCATATTGCCATCATGCCGCAGTGCCGGCCGCTCACCGTGTGGCTGGTCATGCTCCAAATCGCGAGTACAATCAGTGTCTATACGCAGCCGTCATAGAAAGTCATAAGGATCAACTTTTTCTACCGTAAGCATGGATGTGCAGGTTAAAGATTACCGATATTCGCAAATTCAAATCTCGGCCTTAGATCGATGCGTGGGAGATTTTGCAAGTTTTAAAGTCATAATATTGAAGACAATGAATTGTAATTCTGGGAGTTGTGTAAGCCGACACATTATTTTCCCTCGTTCTACTAGTGATATAGTCACACTAAATGATCAATGGAGTTTCTTGTCTCCTCATCAGTCTTGACAGACATGATTCACTTAGAAAGAATTCCATCGATGCTACTGTTCAGAGTTCCATTTTTAACGCCTCTGATCTGCCACAGGCAAGCTTACTGAGACGCCCTCTTCGTCCTGTAGACCGTAGATCGCATCATGTTTTGTTGTGCTTTTCTTGGTAGAAATGCAGACAGCAGCTCTCACTCCTTGTTTCTGAAATAAAACTAGCATATCCTTCTCCTGGATGAGTCTTCCTATATGGTAGAGTAGTTTGGTCAGGTTGAAACCTCGTTTCGGTCATTTCCTTCATCTGGAGTAGATACCGGCGCTGTTTTCATACCTTTTCGTAATACCTTTAATGTATTGGTTGATAAATGTTCTTTATCATGATACCCCATTTGCTCTTACTATTTTCACTGAATCAGGTCACCTTTAAGAGTTAATCAGAGCAACGAATTATTCTCATCCTGACACATGTATTTTTTGTAGATGTGCAGATTAGTGAAGGAGGAGGGGGGTTTAGTTGGTTTGTTTAGAAAAGTTTGTCCAGCATGAATCCTGACCTCCAGTCGGCAATCATTTAGTACGAAAACCGAACAGTGCGGCACAGCACACGTTAACGAGGACTTCAGCATGGAAATAGATAAACAAGGTGCAACGAAACAGATGCTTATGTTTTTTGGAAACGTGATGTGCACAAATGATCCACTTTGGCGTTACGAAGCAATGAACCGGTCAAATCTACTGTATTACTCGTTGTAATGACTTATATCATCAGTCTTTACGGTAGTATTGATGCAAACAAAACCAACGGTAGCTTGTGTAAACAGTCAATTTTAAAAATTCGAATACGCGTGCTTTTCAAGGGAATGAATATGACTACAATTCATGCCTCTGAGGAAAAATTTTCAAAACTGAGAATTCGACGGATATCGCAAACAGAAGGCCCTCTTCTAATGCGGATGGGTCAAAGGGATGACCGAGAGAAAGAGCAACAACACTAGAAGTTCTGTAAGACCTAAGCGACGACTTTTTCGTTATACAGCGTTATTCAGTTCATGGCCGCTTGCGCCACTACACCGGAGCGAATAGAAACCACGGCCATCCTTCACCAACCATGCGATCGATAAATTTCGCTATCCATCATATAAGACTATATTTTAAAGTGCCAGAAAAGAATGGCATTTTTGGCATTACGGCCATAAGCCGGAAACCGCGTTAGTTCTATTATACTGTTGAAAAGCAGTCAGATTCCAGTCAATCAACAGTACTGCCGCGAAGAGTGTCTCTAGCAAATGTCATTACTTCGGACTTATACGATGCGTCACACAGTTACCTTGCTTCAATATACAAAGGGTTCTCATAAGTTGGCCATAGCTTTATGACCATTGAACACACGCAATACAGATTTCCATCCAAACACCGTAGTGCTCAAATTAAAAGGGTGCCGCGCCTGCTTCAATCACCTCTATAAGGTTCCATAACAACAGAGGAGTGAAGGGGTTATGCTTGCGAATCCTGAGTAATAATGTGTGCGGAACAGACTTCTCTCTTCAATGGTATCATTTCGTAGTAAGCATGTTTCGTAGGCCTTCAGGTGTAAGTAATTAAACACATATTGCTCAATAATGCGTTTATGAATGAAAATTTGTTTTACCATACAATTATGTTAAATCACTATTTGCACGAAATATGTTTGAAGGTTTTAGTTTCTTGTAAAGGTTGTGTTTGATGAGCTCAGTGAACTCTCGGCTGATTCAAGGCGTATTGCACTGATGAAGAGCACGCATTAGACAGCATAATCATAAGCCTCGCGAGTTCTGTCATAACCACATCGGAGCTCCATACTGTCTCAACTGCTCGAAAGTCGTCGATCTGCATTTGTGTGTATTGAGATCATTAGCTTGAGCCATTTGTATGAGTCAAACGTCTCTGGTTTGTGATGACTGCTACATTTGCAGCTTTTCAACACGTTTTCTACAAGATACAGATGACTGCATCGTAGAGAAAAATACTCCTCTTCGAAAGCAAATCTGGGCATAACTTCACCCTCCCACTTTCACGCTGGCCTCCATGTAGACGTCTGCCGTGGCCGTTGGTTGAAGTAAACGGTTTATGCTCTCTCATTTCATCTAACCACTCAATATACATTCATATGAGTTCCACATCTAAGGAGAGTATCTGTCTGGAAGATAATAGAGTCCTTCCTTACGTCCTTCCTCGGCAATTCGTATCTAAGCGGTATGCTAAGAACTCCGGGGGTAACAGCTTCATATTCGCTCGAGGGCAATTTTTACCCCATGCAATAATTCCCTTGAGCAAGTAATTTACCACATATTGCTTCAGACCGCGTTTACTCAGTCGGTAGGTTCAGGTTCAAACCCCGGACGGCTCACTCGCCCTTCTTGTTGATAAATGAGTCCCACTTGGTGGGAGGGAAATACGAGGTCACACGCTACGCTTTCCAGATGGCTGTAGACACTGCCCATTAAAATGAGGCGCTCCTCGTTGATAGCATAGCAACGGAAATCAGCACCGCTCCATCAGCTTCATGAATAGAAGGGCGCAGAGATGGGCCGATCATGATGATAAAGACCGACATTCCAACGGTGACTAACTTTCCCTTTCCTTTGTGACCACTTCATATTCATTATGCGTCCACCCCAAAACTGCTATAGGCAATTCAATAGTTGTTTTGGCT